ATATATATATATATATATATATATATATATATATATATATATATATATATGTAATGTTTCGTTTTTCTTCTTAAAAGCTATTAAAACAATAAAGGCAGCGGGTTGTTGCTAGAAGGGATACAGCTGCGGACGGAAGTTAACGAGAATTATCTGTAATATTTATTAAATTACATTTAATTGTGTTTTATTAACGCCTACCCCAACCCTCGCGGTAATGTAAAAACTGTAATAATACAGAGTATTATTCGTATTATTTATTAAAATTGTATTTTACCACCACTACCCCAACCCTCACAGTAATGCAAAACCAGTTATACCGAGTATTATTAATATTATTTATCAAATTAACCATTAAGTTGTATTTTGTTAACGTTTACCCCTAAACCCAACCCTCACAGTAATGTAGATATATGAATTATTGTTGTACTGTGTTACAAAAATTATGCTATATATTGATGTATCCGCAGCTGTATCCCATCTTGAGACTTTGCCCCATTTTTAATAAACAATATAAATAATATTGGGTGTAATTACTGTTTTTACATTACTGTGAGGGTTGGGTTTGGGGGTTTTAGACTTTATTAAAATAAAAATAATGCGTAAATTAATAAATAATTGTTTGTCTTCGTCCGCGGCTGATACGTATCTCTCTTTTAAGTTAAACATATGCCAGAGTGTATAACAAAGCATTAAGTCATTAAAAATATTCCATTCCTTCATATATTGTATGTATTCTTAGCTTTTTTTATTATCAATGTTCTGCAAACTTGTGCAGTTGTAGTCTCTTAAAGAAAATTAACATTTTGCTTCCTACCGCAGCTGTATCCCCTTTTCTTCTGTAGCTTCATTTTTTATTTCTTTTTTGTCAGACTTGTACAATAACAAGGAAATATGACAGTTAAGTCTCATAAATGTAAAGATAACATACAAAGTGAAAATAACTAATAACAAGAAAATAAACCAAAATATGGTAAATTTGCATAAATGGGTTTACATAAATTAAAGCTAATAAACTACATCCTTTAGAAAATTAAATAAATCGACAATGATCCTTATCCTTAAATATGTTCGTAATACATTTTTTTAAAATGCGCTTTTCCTATTTTTAGTCAATTTATTAGAAGAAACGAGTCAAAATCAGCAAGAAAAAAAGGAAACAAGCAAAAGAATCAAAGGATATTCAAGCCATCTCTCCGTATGAATGAAAAAAAGTGCATTAAGTATTAAAAATACATAATATTGTATTTAAAAATACAAAACTTGGGATTTTCATAGAAAAAACAACGTCTCCCGCAGCTGTATCTCTTCTTGCTGCAGGAACTCTGCGTGAGTCGTCACATCCGGTCCCCAGAAATGCTCTAGAATATTACAGCAGCTTCGCGTTTGTTCTGCTGTGTGTATTAAAGCGCGTGTCCTGCTGCTGGCGCTCTTTTAGGCTGTCAGGACAGTACAGAACATTTAATAGCAACAATTAATCACACTCATGTAAATATAAACACCGGGTCTTTGCTGGACGCGTCCGCAAGAGCATTACATTAAAATATCAACAGGTAAGAAACGGCAGGCTGGATTTGTATGGGTGTGTGTGCTCAAATGTGTGGCGTGTTTAAGTAAAAGACCGATATATATGGATATATGTGTGTGTTTGTGTTTGTGGTTGGGGTGTATTAAGGCACACATTAGTGGAAAGTGCTTAATTTAATAATTTAAAAAACTCAAATGTCATTTATGTGTGCGAATTAAACACTTATTTCAATAAGTAGTTTTGTTTACATCGAATGTAACGTTAAAAGCTGACGTTACATTACCGTTACATTCCAATCTAATGTTATAGTGCAAAATCCAACGTTACAGTTAACTAGTTTGTCGTTTTACATTTTGTTTAATATTAATAACAACATTATATTTATTAAAAATGTTGTATTGTTATTATTAGATATTAAGTAATTAGCAATATTTCCCTGTCAGATATTAGCTGCATTATTTATTGTCTTCATGTTACTGTTTTTAATTTATTTACACCTTGTTTTTTGTTTTTTTTTTGTCATCGATTATTTTATTTTAAGCTCATTATTTCAACCTGTTTTTATTTTGTATTTATTATT